ATAAGGGGAAGGAAATGCAAAAATAATCTTATGGTGTGTTTGTGTGAACTTGTCTTTGGCTTGCCTATAAATATGAAATACAGTAAATGACTTATATTTCATAGCTTTTTATTAGTTATGATTAAAAATTAACTACAATGTACAATGATTGCATTTTATGTTTATTTCTACTTTAGTAAAGATTTTATGTGTCAGGAGACAAGTTGAATAGCTTAAGCCTTTTAGAATACTGATTGGCATTATTCTTACTTTCTAAAATTGACTCATAAAGTCCAAATTACTGCTGATAACACTAATGTAAAGTCAGAATCTTCATGGGCTAGAAAAGAGGATGCCATACTAGATTGAGCAATGATTTTAATTCAACACATACTAAGTTTCTGCTATGGGCAAAATGCTCAGAATAGTAGAGGCTTTCCTAGCCATTAATTAGCTGGGCAGCAATGAAGGAATCTCTGCAGCTCACTCAACTTTAGCTTCCTCATCTCCTGTGAGCTTAGATACGCAGAGAAAGCAAATGAGCAGTAGTCTTGAGACTTCTTGCTGTTTTTATTTTCCCATATGTTAGGGCTTTTTTTACTTGTTTTTTGTGTATTTCATACAGTGTATTTTGATTAATGTGATCAGAATGTTACAGCTTTTAGCCAAATGTTTCCTGACTGTCCTAGAATTTACATATCCACTTTATATTGTATGATACCATTTTATGAGTGGCATTTGTCTCTCCATGGAAAAGAAGTATACAATAAGTAACATTTATAATTGTACCTTTTCTTACCAACTTAAATGTCTGTACTCATGAAACAGGAGTTCTGAGAGTTATATCAGTGGTTTAAGAGTAAGGAGATCCATATATTGATAAGTTTACATTTTGTCCCAGATTATTTAGAGAAATTGGAGTTATGTTTTTAAAAAATTTTTCTGATGCAATTGACAATCTAAATTTGTATATTATTAAATAAATCTGTTTCTTTTATTACTAATAAGCTTGACTCTTACACATGCATATACACATATACATATTTTTGCCCATTTGTCTGGTACAGATAGTCTTAAGGCTTGTTTTAAAGATTCAATCTTTTGCCTCATTTTCTAAAATCTATTTTTCTGCTTGCTTAGACTTTAACGTATATTTCAGAGGTATTTTAATTTGTTTAACCTATAAAAACTGAACAGGATACATATAAAAATTATATATTCAATCTTGAAATAGGTTCATTGATTTCTAAAATTGGTAAGTTTATTATACTAGTCCTTTTAAAAAACAAGTGAGTTTAAGCTGTATTTTCTTCAAGAAGAGCTTATCCAAGCATGGTAGAATATACCTGTAATCTAGCACTCAGGAAGCTGAGGTAGGGGGATTACATCAAGTTTCAGGATACTATGTGGTAAGTTCCTGGCCAGCTTGGAGTACATAGTGAAACCTTGTCTTCGGAAAAAAAAAAAAAGGAAAATTGGCTCTTCAAATCAGATCACTATATTGAAGCATATAATGTTCATCTGCACATAGAAATTCATTGAGGCATATGAAGTTAATCTGAGTACAGGGATTCATTGAACTGCTTGTTTTATAGGCTAAGAAGGCCATTACATTTCATTTTTCTGTAGGAAAGTCATTGTTAACCACCTTATAATTTAGTGAGCTTATTCTATACCCATCAATTATTACTCCCTTAACTTTTTTTTCTGTTTTCTATAGAAAGAGGAAAATCTGTGAGCTGTATGCCAAAGTTCTGGGATCTCAAGAAGCTTTATATGTAAGAACCCCCGGTATCTAGGAAGCTTTGCTTTGTTTGCTCAGAGTGGCAAATTAAAGCAACTTACAGCTTCTTGATAGTTTTATTAGAAAGGAGTGTCTTTTATTTAGAGGATTAACTTTAGCAATCCAAAAGGCATTAAAAGCTGGTGTTAGGTACATGCAACTTGTGACACTGCATTACTTTTGGCTGTTGAAATGTTCACTGGTTAGGCATTATAACATGGATAGGTAAATTTGGTTTACAGAACAGAGGTCCTACCTTCCTGTCAATGTTAAGTGCCTGCTGTAAAATAAAACCCCAGCTATGTCATTGTGTGTTGCTGAAGGCACCATGGTACATATTTGACATATCAGGCTTAATCACTGCCCAGGATAAAGACAATTTCTTTACCCACATGGAGATACAATGACTAGATCATGTAACACTCCCAGGGCTTTTGCCCTACTCCTAAAAACAATGAGAAAGAAATTATTTCTGAAAGGCCCAGTAGCTGAGGACTTTATCCATGGATTATCTCTGAACTGGTCAAATAATAAACATTCAGAATATATTAGGGAAGCCATGGAAAGTTTTTCATGTCTATTAGGAGACACTTTCATCTTGTCTGCTTTTAAGTAGAATTCTTACTGTGCACTTTTCAAGTCTGTAAAAGGGATTCTGATTTTTAAAAGCCTTTCTTAGACTTGGTGCTTGTCCTCTTCTTTCTCCCTCCCTCCCAGTCTGTTGTTGCCAGCAGTGCCTATGCCAATGGAAAAGTAAAGTCTATTGTCTTAAACTGTCCAGATATCGGAGAAGACCTTTCCATAAATGAATTGTTTAGTAGGGTTCCCTGAAGACTTAGCTCTAAATGTTTCAGAATCTGCGTGAATGAAAGTGTCCTACCAAGTATTGGGATATGTCATGTATCCCTTACTCAAGAGGTTGAGAAAATCAGTGTCTTTATTTTACCAGTCTTTCCTCCTTTCTTTCTTGCAATGCTGGTCTTGTGCATACTAAGCAAGTGTTCTGCCACTCAGCTTCATCCCCAGACTGATTCCTTTCTCTTCCTTTCCATCTCCCTCCACCTCCTTCTTCCCCTCCCCTTTTCCTTTCCTTTCTTCTTTATTTTCATTGAACTGGGGCTGAAAGCCCAGGTCTTGCACATGCATGCCACTGAACTTCATTCTTATATTCTTTACCCCCTCCCATCTTCTTTCTCACTGCAGAACAAATCCTGGGCCTTGTATATGCTAGGCTGGCCATCTGCCACTGAGCTCCAACCCCAGCCCTAACTTGGATTTTAAATGTAAACTTTTTGCTAAAGTAAAATAGAGAAGAGCCTTCATTGTTGATGGGTAACATTTCTGCTTTTTTTCCTTTTGGAATTTTCTCTCCATTGAACTATAGCCAGTCCATTATGAAGAGAAGAACTGGTGTGAGGAGCAGTACTCCGGGGGCTGCTACACAGCCTACTTCCCTCCTGGGATCATGACCCAATATGGAAGGTACTACAGTCACAGTCACTATACCAATTCACACAAGTCTGACACCACATTTAAGACAAGCTATGTTCAATGAGAATTTTAGAAATAGAAAGTATTCCTATCTGTAAGTCTCAAATAGTCTGTTTGTTAACTTTGTGAATGTCCCTAGAGAAATAGATGTCAACACACAGAACAATAGAAGAGCACTAGGGAGGTTTGCAAATGTCAGCAGTACTTATGAGATGAAGACAACTATAGTATCCTCCAAGGAGCCTTTTTGAGCTTGACATTTAGTCTCATAAGCCAGCCCTGTGAGACTCCTTGATACCTTATACACAGAAGGACCTTGAATACATTTATCCAACACATCTGTCTTATGAACAGAGGAACATCAGATACTCCATTTTTGAAGGAGGAGTCCTCAGTGTACATAGCCGAGTAGGAGAAAATGAGATATACATGGAGTTGGGAGTCTACCTTTACTTAGAAATTCCTTGTTCCATAGAAATCATCTGTATTCCGTAGAAAACATTATCTATATGCATTATAAGCATAGCATCCAGGGTCATTTGCTCAGTTCCAAGAGACACCATATATCAGGAGGCCCAAAATGATAGCCTCCTATCAGGTATTTACAATTCATTCACAGTTCTCCCTTTCTGGATGTTGTTACCACTGTGGGATGGGACAGAGGCATCTTTAGCATAAATGTATATCCTGGTCACATAGGTGACATTATAACTTTCATCTGACTTCTAGAGGGCTAAGTCTAGAAAATTATAAGATTACATTTGCCTATGAAAAAATGAGTATCACTTATTTGCCCTTTTTGTTTTCAAGAGCTTTGTGTTTATCTTTTCTTAACTGAATCAACTAGCCATTGTTTTGATAACAGAACTGGTGAACTGAATTAGTTCTGGGGTCACAGTAAAGGTATAGATGATAGAGCTAGAATCAAGGAAAGATGAAACACAGAATTCTTGAATTGGAAAATGGAGTACTAGTAGGTTGAGTGTAAGCTTTAGGTATGCATCTTAGACAGGAGTTTGTAGAACTGGCTCAGGTATGGCAGAGAAAACACCAAGAAGGTTGGAGTAGACAGTTGTCCACTAAATCCAACCCTTCCTTAGTTCTGTTTGGTAAGACCTCTTTGTAAGAAGAGACGCATTTTATTGCTCATAGAAATGTTCAGAGAAACTGTGCAAAGGTTATTATTTCAGGAGAAATGCTCATATAATCCTTGGGATCTTTCCTCTGCCAAAAATGACAGTTAGTGTTCCTTACCACTTACAGTCTTTTTTGATATACTAGAAGTGGCTTCATGGCTTGGCTCTGTGCTATATGTAATCTAGAGAAGAATTATACCCCCTGAAAGACAGTGGAGACAGCAGAATCGACTGCAAATAGGAAATACAGCTGTGTTTGTGACTGAGAAATTGAATGTATGTTACGACAGGTGGACTAGCTGCCTGAAAATAGGCCATCATCACCTTTAGTGATGGATGAACTAAAAGTCTACTTCTCCTGGACTTGAAGTTTAGATCCTTCTGTGCAGGCCAGGAACCAGGGAATGGGCTTTAACTTTGGGTTGAGCCTCGTGGATGTTTGCTCCACAGTTGGTTTCCCTTCCTTTGGAGTAGTGAGGGCAGTGAGTGATTGGTCCATTTCCCCTCAGCACCTTCCCGTGTAACTCTGTCTGACCTCTTTATTCCCCTGAAGGGTGATTCGCCAGCCTGTGGGCAAGATTTACTTTGCAGGCACAGAGACAGCAACACAATGGAGTGGTTACATGGAAGGAGCAGTCGAGGCTGGAGAACGGGCAGCTAGAGAGGTAAGAGACGAAGCTGAGGTAGTCATTCTTCAGTTGAAGCCCTTTTTTGTCAATGCTAGGAATTGAGCCTAGGGTGTTACACATTAGAGGTAATGCTGCCAATGTCTGTGGCAACATTTTTGTTAACTAGTCTTTCTGGTTCTTTGATTATCTTTACATGGATATATAACATGAAACCTGATATTAGAGGTTTTTATTGACACAGTTGTACATATTTGTGCTGTACACTGCGATTTAAAAAATACTTTATTAGCATTGCTTTCTTTAAGAACATGGCTACATTGACTTTGTATAGGTAGAAAATTTGGAAAGGGACCCAGAAAACTCACATTATAGGAACAATGACAAATTTCACATTATTATTAAGGCTTGGCAGTACAGTTTTGTCAGTAAACAATATTCAAAAATTATAGTAGACAGAATTTGAAATTTATATTCTAAGATCTAATTACATATTTTTAGTTTAAGAATTATATCAGTTTAGTTACTATAGTACTTGCTATTTCTTTTTTTCTTTTTTAAAATTTTTTATTTAATAACCATATAATTAGAAGAAGCGTTTTATTACAACAGCATTGACATATTCAATAACAATTTCCAGAGCTAAGATGCATCTCTTTCAAAATTGGCTGTAAATTTTTAGGTTTGCAGTTGAATTAATATAGTTATACAATATTGTACTCAGTATAAACCCTATAAGACATAAAATTAAATGAGGTTTTAACCTTTAAAGAAGATCTCCATTTCATTATTAAAATACACAGTTTCATACAGAAAAATTCTTTTTTTAAAGCTTCCCAGCTGTGGTTTTTATCTCTAGTTCAGTTAAGGCAAGGGGAATGCATATGGGGCTATAGAAGAACAATAGAAAAATAATGGAAAACCTATTGGTGCCTGGTAATGGGACAGGTCCAACATCAAGGCCTGGATACCCAGGACCACGTGTGGAATGAGGACTACAGCTGGGCCTCTGGGGAGGTGGGAGGGCCGTTCCAGAGAATCAGTGACCAGAATCTGCAAATAACAGAGGCCTCTCTGTCCTCAGCATAACAGACAAAGCCTCTGCCATGTATAACCTAGGACCTTGGGGGAGGGGGCAATGGGGAAGGAAAGTAGTCACTCAGAGAAGACTGAAATTGTTGCCCAGCTTCAGGAAGTCCTCCATGCTCTACTTCAGTCTGTCATCAGCCCACCACCAGCACCAAAGGGGTGTGGAATTGTTACTCATGGTAGTAGGTTCAAAGCTTCAGGCTCATGTGAGGAGACAAGAGCTCCAGCTCACAAGAGGGGACTACGGCTCCAGGTTCATGTGAAAGGACCACAGTTCCAGTTCACAGATATTTTGATACATGCATATAATGTACAATGATCAAAGTAATTAGCATCTCCTTCCCATCAAGCATTTATTATTTCTTTGTAACACTGAAAATCGTTTCTTCCAGCTCTTTTGAACTATATAGTATAATGTGGTTATTTGTAGTGACCTTATGTTGCTATAGACTATCAGAATTTATTCTTCCTATTGAACTGTGTGTTGGTACCCATTTATCCATTGTCATTATCCTCACGCCTTATCACCTTGCTAAGCCTCTGGTGGCCTCTATTCTTCTCTTTGTTTCTATAGAATCTCCTTTTTCAGCTTCTGCATGTAATGAATAACCTGCTATTTGTCTTTATAGGCCTTATGAATTTCATCGAAAATAGCATTATCCTGTAAGCTTATCCATACTGTCATATTGGCAACATTTTATTCTTATTTCAGTCTGAATAATGTTCCATTGTACATGCATACCAAATTTTCTTTATCCATTCATCCAGCTGTTTCTTGACACTGATACAATCATCATATGCACTTCTTTGCCACCCACCCTTGGATTCATCAATGGTTAATTGGGCTTTGATTCTGTTACAACTATATAATCTCACTTATGCCATGGTCACTTTTCTTTCAGGTATTGAATGCTCTAGGAAAAGTTGCCAAGAAGGACATATGGGTTCAAGAACCTGACTCTCAGGTAAGTTTGACTGTTCCATCTCAAAAGACTAATCACAGTACATAAAACTTGCATCCCCCTTCTTTCAGCCTCTGCTTCCATTATAGATGCAACTGTCTAGGGCATATACATGCACAATATTATAGATAGGTTTTGTTTCTTCTAACTAGTTCAAAAGTTTCTGCTAATGATCTGTGTTCATTCATATAGGATATTCCATCGTTTGAAATTGCCCACACCTTCTTGGAGAGAAATCTGCCTTCTGTGCCTGGTCTACTGAAGATGATTGGTTTTGCCACCTCTGTGGCTACTTTCTCCATTGTATTGTACAAGTTCAAATTGCTCCCACGATTTTGAAGTTTTCACCCTCTAGTCTCCTGCCTAATTGTCCTTAGCACCATCACCATCAAAAGATTACTGGCTATGTCATTGGGAGCCATTTAAGTGCACTTGATTTAACCTTCCTCAGTTTAGTCTCAGTTTTGTCAAAGTGTCAGCAATCAAAGAATCACGTAGTTAACTTCAGTAAGGTCAACTTTCATATTGTTTGTTAGATTAACTCATGTTGGTAGACTAAAATCTTGTGAGAACAGAATTTCATAAAGTTGAAGTGCTTGTGAAAAACAATTTTTGTGTTCTGATTTTCTTGCCTTTAATGCAAAAATGCTTGATGGTTTTATAAATAACTTGACTCGCTGCGACTCTTGTGTACCTTTCCAGTTGGGCAGAGTAAAATAGCTGAAATGCCCCCCAGAAGCCCTCACTGACTAGGTCAATGTCAGATGAACACAATAGGCATCTACTCTTCAAAAATGTGGCTAGATATCATTAGATCCTTGTCAATGAGAACATTATATGCTGATTTCTGGAAAGCACCATTTTTTTGTTTTTTTTTTTTTGCTTTTGTTTTTATATTATTTTTTTATTTAAAAACCACATGATTAGAAGAAGTGTTTCATTACAGCTTTAACATATTCAGTAACACATTCTAGAGCAAGGATACATCTCTTTCAAAGGTGGCTATAAACTTTTAGGTTCACAGTTGAATTAATACAGTTATATAATATTGAACAACATATAAACCCTGTAAGACATAAAATTGAATGAGTTTTTACCCTTTAAAGAAGATCTCCATTTTAAAATATGCTGTTTCCTACATTTTTAATGCAACCAACACTTAGATGTTTGCACATGTGTCTTTAATCTCTATGCATCTGATTATTACTAGTCACAGTTGGTTACACTCAGATCCTTAGTACCTGAGTATGGATATAAAGTCATCAGGTAGATTTCACTGGTAATGTTTATCACCTCTACTATTTAACATGAAGTACATTTTTATGCTTCCTCCCCAAATATGTCCGTTTTTAAATTTGATTTTTTTTGTGTGTGTATATCATACAGAACATCCCACACAATCTTATTCATCTATATACCCACTTCCCAAATGGCCTCCCATAGCCTCCCCTCCCACACACTGGAACCCATATACTCTGTCATCCCTGTTACTGTCCACTGTATTGTCGGCACCCCCAGCCATTCCCCAGTGTTTGTCCGTCTACTGAATCTAGTCAGCCTATCTAGAAATCCTTGTTTTAGGAAGATCAGCTGCTTTTCATCTAGCAGCAATCAGTCGTCAATATTCCTTTAGATAAGATTGGGGTCTGCTGTTCATTTTCCCAGTTCTCTGCTGGGTTACTGTCTGGCAGTCTTGGGCCACCCTGGCCAATAACTCAAAGGAAGGTATTTCCTGTCTGGCATTGTTTCTTGTTATGTAGCCTTTAGCTATACATATGGATTCTTAAAAAATTATATTGACTCCATTAATCTTTGGTTATACTTTCCTTTTGGGTGTTTAAGACCCTGCAATTGGCCCAGATAAACCAATTTATTTTATTTTTATTTTTTTGTTATATTGTTCTCATTTATCTGATAGATAACACTTACATTGTATTTATCCTTTTTTTTAATTATTTAATAACCACATGATTAGAAGCATTTCATTACAGCATTGACATATTCAATAACAATTTCCAGAGATAGGATGCATCTCTTTCAAAATTGGCTGTAAATTTTTAGGTTTACAGTTGAATTAATACAGTTATAAAATATTGTAGTCAGTGTAAATC